TGGCGTGGTCAGAGACAGAATGGTAGCCCGAGGCTGGGGCAGTTCTGTTTTCTGGTTTGATGTAGGTCTGTTACTTGGAATACCTCCAGGGCGCAGGGAAATGATAATTTCCCATAGCATTCGGTATGTGATAATGCGAGAAAGGATGGTTTCAGAATATCAAAAATTACCGTTGAAGCTCGTCCAATAACTTTTATCAAGTGTCACTCGTGCTTGGGCTCAAGACTCTAAGACCACGTGCGCCTTTGAAGAGTCGAGATAATTAAATGGCTGCCTAGGAAGCGTGATGAGGCGTTCAAACACGTCCAAAGTCTGGCAAAGCTTGACAACCGGCAGCAATGGCACAGCCATGTTGCGTGCTACCCAATTTTTGGTGTTAGTGATTCGTTTCACCATTAAGATAAGACATTTTTGTACGCAATAGTTTTGATATCTTCATATGCTCTTAATATAAAAATTCCACCCATTTATTTCCACATGTGATGATTTGTCAAAACCGACTGTCCATGGCGCCAATGATGTGGCTTTGCGTAATTCGAAAGCCCTGCGGGCGGTGAAAATGTACGTTGATCGAACGAGAGCACATGTGCTAAGCGCTCCACGCCGCGTGTTTGTGCACCGGCCTTTGATTGCATGTGATGATCAGCTGATAGCTGACTAGGAAAGATAGATCATGTAAATGACGCCCCAAAACTCTCACCTGGGATTGGCTGGGTGTCGCGTAGCGCGACGCTCTAATTTCCCCCTCTGCAACACGAGATACATCTTCAAAGCGCCGCATCATCCCCAGCTCACACATGTTCACCTACTTTGTCCTGGCACCACCCGAAAGCCGAAGGCGGCAGCGCTGATCTGGGTCAGGGGTCACGCGGGGTCAGCCGGGGTCAGGGGCCGGCTGTCGGCGGCGGCGGGCCGCCTCTAATCGCTCTCGGCGGGCTGGAAAGCGGCGAAACCAGCGGCCGTTTCCGGATCGGTCGTCGTCGATTGACCGCCAGCGTCGCTGTTACTTCGGCTTGTCTGAAGTGTGGTGCTGCTTACTGCGCTGGTGTCTGCGCGCGGTGTCAGCTGGGGTCTCCGTGTTGGCTGCGGGGCTGGGGGGGGGGGGGATGGGTGCAGCTCGGAAAAGGGTGCATGTGAAACGCGGCCATGCGGGGTAGGAGGGTCGTGACGCTCTGCCCACGTGTTTGAATGAGGTCGTGGGGACATCGATCATTCGGGGCAAGGTATACTATTGTTTCGAGGCTCAGCCCCCACCAGCAGCCGCCAATTTCGGAAGACACAATGGCCCAGCGCCCTCCAGACGTAGCTTCAATTAGTGAGTGGAGATAACCGTGCCACTGGAGGCAGGCGTCTGTGCGAAACGGAATGCTATCAAGAGGTGCAATGTCAGCTGACCTCGTTGTGCGTCGCTTGCCTTCGATCACGCAAACGTCCATTGAAGGCTTCATCTGAGGCACGGTTGCATCTCAGTCATCAGGTTGAATGTTGCATTGCACGCGGAAGGTGCGCGTTGGATCTCCGCGCATCGGGCTCCTTCCGGTCACCCAGGTCATCCGTATGTTTTGGCGTTGTCAAGGACGCCTGGGTAGTGCCCGCACGTTCAGTGTGTTTAGCGCGGAGATGGCCTTCGCTTCAAGGTGGCTCGTGACAGATGAGTGCTTTCCTTGCCCTCGGCAATCAGCTGGTGTGAAGAGTGACCTGGTGGTCGCCCGTGTCACTGAAGTAGGGCTGATGTGTGAAAACGGTCCCATCCTGCCAGCTGCTGTGCCGTGCCGTGCCGTGCCATGCCGTGCCGTGCCGTGCCGTGCCGTGCCGAGGCCTCCTTTGCCCTATGCTGTACCGCGCTCTTGGTGCGGGCTCTCGCCAGTACTCGCCGAGTTAGACTGTTCTCCGCTTGGCTTGGATCTCCCGTACTCAGTGATCTATTCTGCTATAGTGCTGCCGCTCAGTTGTACCCTGCCCTCCTGGAGTCCTCTGTTCTCCAGCGTAGGTCTCGCCCTGGCTTGGGCATCCAGTTATACTCTGTCCTGCTGGGCCCCGTTCTCCTGTTCTCCACGATGCGCCCTGCTGTGGTAGAGGCGCCTGGATTCTTCTTAACGGTATTTTACGTAGACCCCGTAGGTCTTCTGTGCAACTTGATGCTCTCTGCTGTGGTGTACTCGGTTGTGATCCGCTTGGCTGTGCTCTTCTGTGTTCATTTGTACTCTGTTCTGCTATACCGCGCCAATATGTGTTGCAGACAGCTCTGTCACACTGATAGCTGTGCTCTAATGCACGGTGCTACTCCGTTTTGTTCCTCTGTTATCATTGTGATGCCCCGCGCGCCGTGGTAATTAAGATTATTTGATGCAATCCGTTTTAATTGCGATGTTCTGTTCCGCCCCGCGGCAGTTATTGTGTTCTGCTGTGCCCCGTTATGACAGCCGTATTCTGTTCTAATCTTTCCTGCGTTGTAGTCGCTGTGTTTGCTGTGATTCGTTTTTATAACTACGCTCTGCTGTTTTCTTGTGTCTGCGCTGATGGCGCGTGATTTCTTATGATTGAATGTTTTTCTTCTTTGCGGCACTATAGCCCAACCCTGTCGGCATTTCTTTTTGCCTTCCCTCTCTTAACCTCTCTCCTTATCCCTCTCTCTCGCTCCCTTTCTTCCCTCTCCTGCACTTTCTCCCCTATTTCTCCCCAGCCCCTTTCCCCGTCACTCTCACTCTCCCAGCCTTCTCCCTTCACTGCCTTCCCCCGCCAACGGCCAGAGCTTCAGCCGTCTCCGTCTCCGTACGGCGCCACCGGCCGCTCTCTCGGGAGGGTGCTGCCGGTCACGGCCACTAATGGTGCGAACACGCAGCCACGCTGGGAACAGTGTGGCCAGATTTGTGAGATTTCCAGCGCGGATGGTGCGGCGCTGTCCGCTTCATCGATATGCAATGGCTGAAGCGGAAAGCTGGACGGCTTCTGAAGTCGCTTTCTTCGGTCATTAAGTCAATGAAAGCCATCTGAGGAAAGAAACTTTTGATCGTAAATGGACTCTGAGTTTTTCCGTTTGGTTGTTCCGCATAGTAGCTAGGCTCCTACACTGAATGCTCGCCTTTTTCAAGGATCTTTAGTGCTAAAGTCCCGATATATCAGTTAATTGGAGCGCCTGCATTCTGCACCACTCGCCCGTGGTGGGGTGGGATCGAGTCGCTTTAGGCTCTCGGCAGATATAACCTGCGGACGCTGGCAGCGGCCGCGATAAAGGTCAGGTGACGTCAGAGGGTGGGACGGACCGTGCCGAGCATTGCGGCACGTTGAACCTTCCACCGAAATCATCCGCTGACCTGGAATTGTGCGATCGTTTGGCAGGGATCAGGCTCTCACATCACGCACCGCTTGGCGTGAGCTCTGATCCCAGAAATTCATTCATCCGAAAGGCTTGGACTTACGTTTGTAAAACCGAGAACTACCAGAGCCCAGAAATTGATAGGATCGAGCGTACACGATGACCACTAGCCACACAAAAGGGATTAATTTTGTTATATTGTCATTCACCGTGGTAGTCGAGACTGCAGCTGATGCGACGCTGGACGTCAGCCGACTGCAGCTGTTGCGACGCTGGACGTCAGCCGACTGCAGCTGATGCGACGCTGGACGTCAGCCGACTGCAGCTGTTGCGACGCTGGACGTCAGCCGACTGCAGCTGTTGCGACGCTGGACGTCAGCCGACTGCAGCTGTTGCGACGCTGGACGTCAGCCGACTGCAGCTGTTGCGACGCTGGACGTCAGCCGACTGCAGCTGTTGCGACGCTGGACGTCAGCCGACCGATGATCGTCGCACGTAGCTGCCCGATGCTTGCTTTGTGTTTAACGTTACAGGTTTTGATGTAATGGGGGGTACCGTTTCTGGTTTCCTTCATCCGTCGTCAGATGTCTTTATTATCAGTTTGTCTCTATCGCCCTGTTTTTCTCCAACATGCCCTCACTCATCACGGCCTACCTCTCGACCCATTTCTGCTTCATCTATCAAGAGCGTTGTTCTTTCGGTGCTCGGTCCATACTTCGGCGGGGATGGAGGCAACTGGACCGTGAAACGGTGCTTCAGTGGACGTTCTAGTGGTCACTCCCCGTTCGTTTCACAACCCTGGGAACGGTGGTGGTCGGAGTCTGGGTCGTTAACTAACGTCGCTATTGGTCTTACAGGTGGCTTACCTCATCGCCTTCGGGGTGCAGCTGTGGTGGATTGTCGATACCAAAGGTAAGACTCAGTTGTCTGAAGGCGAGGAGGTTTGCGGTGCTATGGCTGTGACTGTTTCAGCTTTTTGTTTAGTCTGTAAATTCGCTGAGACCCCAGCTTCGTCACCACAACTGAACCGCCAGAGCAGCCAACTTTAGCAGCTGTTACTGCGTGGTTGTTCGCTGGATTGCATTTCGTATTTATGTGCTCAGACACGCTAACCTGGAAGGAAATTTATTGAGTTGCGAATAATATAAAGGTAGCTGTTTAGAAAAAGACGATTCCGGATCAAGAGCAGGATGGCTTGACCGGTTGTGCTGCACCAGTACGTGGATTCCAATTTAAAGTGCAGTGAAGCCTTTTCAACATGTCACTTATTTTCAGAGACCATGCCGGCTCCTGCGTACATACTCTGCGGAGGATATGTGATAATGCTTCTCACCGCACTCATCATGCTCATTGGCCTAGCGCTGGTAAGTGTCACCGCTTTGCCCTTAAACTTATGTGCTTGTCTGTAAACCAGTCTGATTGTCATTCGTTGCTACAACACAAAGCATGTTGAACTAAAACAGGGGCGACTATGGGGCTGGGAAGATAAAACCGAAGACGAAAACGACTGTTTTGTTTGCATCTTCCGGGTTTTGAAGTCTTTGTTTAAACAAAAACGTGACCACCGACAGTGAAGTTTGCCTGAAATGCTGCATATAAATTTGTAGCCTCAAAGGTGCATAGTGGGCGGAAAGGCCGTAGTCCAAACGAGTGTGGGCTGAACAATAGTTTCAAGTTCGGTGATCCAGCCCGGCCCGGTCGTCACTGCCGTTTTCGCGTTTCATATATTTATGTTTTGCGTTACGCGTATGTACTTTTGTTGTACGTTGTTTCACGTCACTTAATGCTGTTTATGTTTGTCTATTTTTACGTGTATGGGCTTATGTATTTCGTTGCAACGACTTATCGCGGCTTCATTCATTTTTTCAAAGAGGCGAAGCGCAGTCCTTTAAACTTTGAAGGATGTATCTGCAAGATTGCAGCCCAGAAGATAGCATTTCTTCATTCGGTTATCACAGAAAACGGAACGCTGGTAATTCGCGAAAACGTTAGCAATGTCCGGCCCAGACTTTGTTGGGTCCAGAATGTTGATGTGACCCCGCAGTGACGCGAGAGCAGCTGTTGAACGTGGGAGGGGGCGCGCAATCGCCGTGGCAGGGGTAGGACTCGGCGTGCTTCAACTGGTAGCGCGCATTCCAGCGCTCTCACGGGGTCCCCAGTTTGAAACGTTTGCATTGACTGGTGTCAGCTCTCGGCCACTACGGGGCAGATAGAGACGTGAAGCCAACTACATCGTTTCCGGGAATGTACCGCGCCTGTAAATCACTGTACGATCTCACCGTGTTCCATCCCATGGTGACCTTAGCGGAAGCGAAAGCGGAAAGCGAAGAATGTCACCTTTATAGAACCAGACTATCGAAAGCTACTCACTGTAGCTTTATCCCAGAAACGTCAGGCCATTAAACCAACAGGCGTGAAGCCAAGTTAATTGCAACCAAGCCCGACCCCAAAATGCCGATTTTGTGAACTTCGCTGACCAAAATAAAGAAGTGTGAACTGTCATTCTGATGCGTTGATCATAAGTTCACTGCATGGATTTCAAAAGCGTCTGTCTCTACTCGCGTATGTTGTTGGCACTAACACCAACGCCCACCATCCTCTTGCTCGGGCCGAGTTGTGCGATGCGTCTCACGCACTATGCTTGCCTGCAAGAGTACAAAAAAAGCGATAATTTGCTTAAATTGTATAAATTCGTTCGGTAGGCTGCACATTTATAGATATATTGGTGGACGGCTACTGAAAGGAAGCATAAAATTACACCATAACAAACCTTAACAGCATAAAATACCGGACTAGGAGGAGCGCGATACTTGAAGTTAAGCACTTCCAAAAAGAATCTAATTTTCATTCCCCGTATTTTTAAAATTCGTCCTCCTGTTTTCGCCCACAACGTTAGACGGTCAATGAATAGCCTGGAACGCCAGAAAACATCATACTAGAAATTAGAACTTAAAAGATTTACGCATTAGTATCATTCAGGTTTTGTATTTTCATCATTCAACTTAAAGGCAAAGTGTTCCGTGATGAAGCCGTCATACTGGACTCTCGCTGTAACCTTCAACACGCCTTTTATGTGGTTGCGGCAAGTTTTTGTGTTTGCGGCAAGTTGAGAACAGACGCATTTGTTATCGCTGTGTAAATGGTCCTTCGACATAAGCGTGTAGAGTCCGTTGTCCTTGGATCCCACAGTGATTTAATGCTGGATGCGACGGACTGGACTCGAATTGATTCGGATATGCGTTCAGGTATCCTCCTTCCACGAGCTTAGTATGCGAAGGGGCACCGACGTTGGGAGCGTGCACACAAAAATTGCAACCGACTGGTGAAACACTGACTGGCTTTAGACCTGATCGTAGACATGCCACGAATTGTACGTAGCATTTTCTGTTAAAAGGCGAGATCGATGAATTTGGAGAAATGCACGCGTTTAGTGGCTGTGAAGAAAGCGCTGCCAAAAACGGTAATATTTTGGGAAATATTTCGGTCACGATAAGCTAGGCTATGCATCCATATGAATTGGCTTGATCGCCTGATCTGTTCCGATTCAGACAACTGGGCATTGTATTGAGACCGATTCAGAAAAAGGTGACATAAGGGCAGTGAGAGCAAAGATGGTTTTGGCTGTATTTCGGATCCATGTCCGTTTGTGCATGATTGTGTGAGTGCGCACGCATTTGTTAGGCTTGTGTCAGTGCGATCATCTATCGTCTTTTCCGTTAGAGCTAGTCACACGTTGCTGCAGCGTCCGGTCGCCAAGGTTTTGACCTGCCTTTGATTTGCGTTTCTCAGCGGTTTCGTGGTTTGAAAATGCACGCTTCCCATGTGAAATCGAAGTAGAATGACCGAATTGGCAGGTGGAGTAGTGGTTGTAGTGCAATGTCGCAAAAATACGTCATCTTGTCAAATCGGTCGCATCTAAAAATCTGGAAAAGATTATGCCACAGCACAAATTGTGTTGTTCGTCGCAACAAATTCATGGGAATAGTATTTGCAGCAGAAGTCGAGGTACGCCAGACTCCGAACATCTGATATTTTGTGTCTGCGGAATTTGACGTTCTCCAAATCTTCTTATCGTATTATCAATCTCTTAGAGCCGTTGACATTGTCACTATTCTTTAACGTCCAATTAAAGAACAGCTATTTAAGCGATCAGATGATTGGACAGCTGGGTCGTGTTGGAACCAACAGATGGTGCTGCAACGGCCCCAGGCTAGCTGCAGTACCCTCTCTCGAAGTACTTTCGCTGGGGGCCGTGAGCGGAACCCACAACGCGTCCCCCACAAGCACGCTTGGAGGAAGGCAGGCTGGACTGAGAGCCTGAGGAACGTTTACCGCAAACGGTGCTGCGAGTGGGGACTGACGCAGCTCGCCCACAGCCCATCGCCACGGGCCCCGTGCTGAATGCGTGTGGCGGTCTCGGGGAGAGCGTACGATGCGTGTACATAGTAGGCCGACCGCCCTGCGTCGCCCGTGACTGCTGGGGATTACGGGTGACCTTTCCACCAGACCTGACCTGTGGACCGCGTGGTTTGCGCACCAGTCAGTCGTCTCACATCTGTGCTTAGTATATACCAACGAGTTTCTAGAATAGCTCCCAAACCGCACCAGACTGGCTCACGAAATTGTTTGCAAAGCTGTTCGGCGGTAGCAGTTCTGTAATATAATTGGTTTGCCACGTCTTAACGGGAAATAATTTCGATGACGGGTAAGGTTGCCGAATTATGACGTCACCAGTGATGGCCTGAACGTTAATTTGCGCTACTCAGGTTGAAATTATCCTTTGTGGGCTTAGCTTGTCTCTACTTAAGATTATTTTAGTATTTTTTTTAGTGAAGTCTCTTTAGTTTAGTTTCCTTTTTTAGTTTTGCAGCTAGTTTAATCGCACGATAGTCAGGACTCCCATAATGTCTAAAGCGAAAGCAGGTAACCAACGGAGATTATGTGGTGCGAGCTTGTACGCGGCGAACCCAAGCAAATTGTGTCGCCATTTCTTATATATAAACAAGTCGGTAAAACTGACCTACTTTTCCAACCAGCGACTGATGGCCAGGTCATCGTGTCATCATAGCGCGCCATCCCCGAAGTGATGAATAAAACGTGCGCAATGGCTGACGCGACTTTGACCTGACCTGACCTTGATTCAACTTAAGTTTACCCTTATTTTTGCCTTTGGTGTCAGTCGCTAAGCTGTATGACGATGAGCCATAAGGCCATCTGAGGACTCTGACAGTTTTTTCTGCGCCCTGTAGCGTCGTCATCCACGCATTGTACATCAACCAACATCTTCGTGACGAGAATGGCATCGTAGTTTCCGCCTCCTTTCAATTTATCCGATTAGACTACTGGATGTCGATGCATTGGAGGCGGGGGGGGGGGGGGGCTTTTACACCCCGGGCGGTGGCATCGTGTTCAGTACCCTAATGCTGCTGGGTTAAAGCTGGTACCTTCAGGAGTTCCATGGAATGGATATCCGACACGAGTCCTGCCGGTATGTGAGTAAGAAAGCCAACCAATACAGTATAAACACCACTTGGCGGTCAATTTGTTTTATTAGTATTCGCCGTAAACCATTTAGTTTTGTCATCGATGTGCAGCCAAGGTTCACACACACGATGCTGGAGTTGCGCGACATGGTCCCGCTAGCACCAGCAATCTGCGTGTGTTAGATGGAGGCACGAAGCTCTGGTCGTCCGGTTAGGCTACAGACCATCCTCTCTCCTGCTCTCGAGTGGTATTTCGAACGAAGTCCTCAAGAACATGCATATAAATTAACCGAGCTCTGATTGTGTTCACTCTGGGTTGTTTCAAGAACAGAATTAGATTTGTCCGGTTCCTTAAGACTTGTTTAAGAAACGTGGTTAGTAATGAGCATGTTAAAACTTATTTGCACTCCAGCACCATCTAAGCTGTTTTGTGGCTTCACTACGCAACTGAAAGCACGATAGACTTCAGCACAGGCCACTTCCATCTTATTTGAAAAGGAACATGCGACCAAAAGTTATGTTGTGTTTGGCTACGTCGAGAACGTGAGGGCTGAATGGTGGTTATCGCTCTATTAGTTTTAACATCCACATTTCTAATGTCTCTTCAAACCAGTCTTAAGAAACTGAAGGAATCTTTTTGCTTCCTGAAATAGAGTTGTTGGTATGATGGTGGTATGACTAGTTGTTTTTATATGCATTCACTGGGGATTTCTGGATCTAATAATCCTCGTTTTCTTCTCCCTCTCCCTCGACCGAATCGATACCGACCTCCTCGAAATCTTTCTCCAAAGCAGCCAAATCCTCCCGAGCCTCAGAAAATTCTCCTTCCTCCATGCCCTCTCCGACGTACCAGTGGACAAAGGCACGCTTAGCATACATCAGGTCGAACTTGTGGTCCAGCCTGGCCCAGGCCTCGGCGATGGCAGTGGTGTTGGAGAGCATGCAGACGGCGCGCTGCACCTTGGCCAGATCGCCGCCAGGCACGACCGTCGGCGGCTGGTAGTTGATGCCCACCTTGAAGCCGGTGGGGCACCAGTCGACGAACTGGATGGTCCGCTTGGTCTTGATGGTGGCGATGGCAGCGTTGACGTCCTTGGGAACGACATCACCGCGGTAAAGCATGCAGCAGGCCATGTACTTTCCGTGGCGGGGATCGCATTTCACCATCTGGTTAGCCGGTTCGAAGCAGGCGTTGGTGATTTCGGCAACCGACAGCTGCTCGTGGTAGGCCTTCTCAGCCGAGATGACCGGTGCATAAGTGGCCAGCGGGAAGTGGATGCGTGGGTACGGCACCAGGTTGGTCTGGAACTCGGTCAGGTCGACGTTGAGAGCGCCGTCGAAGCGGAGCGAGGCGGTAATTGAGGACACGATCTGGCTGATCAGTCGGTTCAGGTTGGTGTAGGTTGGCCGCTCGATGTCCAGGTTGCGGCGGCAGATGTCGTAGATGGCCTCGTTGTCGACCATGAAGGCGCAGTCCGAGTGCTCCAGCGTGGTGTGCGTGGTCAGGATCGAGTTGTAGGGTTCGACCACGGCCGTCGCAATCTGCGGCGCCGGGTACACGGCGAACTCCAGCTTGGACTTCTTGCCGTAGTCGACGCTAAGGCGCTCCATCAGCAGTGACGTAAAGCCAGAGCCAGTGCCTCCGCCGAAGCAGTGGAAGATCAGGAAGCCCTGCAGACCGGTACACTGGTCAGCCAGCTTCCTGATCCGGTCTAGCACGAGGTCGACAATCTCCTTGCCAATGGTGTAATGTCCACGGGCGTAGTTGTTCGCAGCGTCCTCCTTGCCGGTTATCAGTTGTTCGGGGTGGAACAGCTGGCGGTAGGTCCCCGACCGAACTTCATCCACCACAGTTGGCTCCAAGTCGACGAAAACAGCTCGTGGAACATGCTTGCCGGCGCCGGTTTCACTGAAGAACGTGTTAAAGCTGTCGTCCCCACCGCCGACTGTTTTGTCGGAAGGCATCTGACCGTCCGGCTGGATGCCATGCTCTAGGCAGTACAGCTCCCAGCAGGCGTTGCCGATCTGGACGCCAGCCTGTCCGACGTGAATAGAAATGCACTCACGCATGGCTGCCGTTGGAGGAAGATTCGGATTCGGTTTCGGTTCGGTCGAGATCGAGGTTTGCTTGCTATGGGTTAAGCCGTGTTACGGAGCTTCCTCTCACAAGCGCAAGCAATTCGAAACTGAGATAAATAATGAACTGAAAGCGATCAGCTAAAAATTAATAGCTCGTGATCTGATAACGCGAAGCGATTGGTAGAAATTTGCCGCCATGCCGGGATCTGGTCTTGAAGAACGAAATCCTTCACGACCGTTTTACAGCAACAATTTATGACAGTGCTCATGCTTTTTTGGTTCTGACGCCTGCGGTGTTTCCTAGCGCCTGGATATAAAACACCGTCGCGTGGTATGCCCTGGATATGTCATGGCTGAGCCTGTAGGCCCCATTTCTTTCGCTGAAAATAACCGACCTTCAGGACCAGGAAAATTTAGGTTAAGCGAAGATGCCAAGCAGCCATAAAAATCAGTCTTAAAAAATCAGTCTTAAAAATCATTTGAACTTTAAAGACCTTCTTACAATGAAGGTCTTTGAAGTTCTCAGCTGTGCTCATGTTCACGAGCAGCCATGTGGCAATGCGCAGTTGTGCCAAGGAGCACTGCTGGAAGCATTGAGTGCTTTCAGAATATGCCTCGATCGTTACTTATAGTCGTCCTTTAACAATGCCTCCTTGCATAGTGAAGATTGTCAGGGATTAGTTGTTAGCTCCTAATGCCGAATAATCAGAAAATGTTTGTATTTATTGTGTATATCAAGTGTCCAGCAGGACTACGCTAAATATACATTAGTGAATCAGGTGGAACGAACTCGTTCTCTCCAAACCGAGATGTTACGTTTCGATTTTCTCCAAAGCACTAGATGGCCATGACACGAGTGGATCCAGGATCTTGGGGGTGATCATATACGGAATATTCCCCTGGTTACCCGAAAATTACAGCCTAAAGAGTGCGGCTGCCTGCCTTCCCACCGTCTTGAGTAGGCAAAGCCCAGCTGCCTTCCTTAAGGCTCTGCCAGAGCAGCTGCGGCTTCGTCACTGTCAACATTCCTATATGCATGGAAAAACTTTGCCCAACGCTGGCGGCAAAGGTGAACTCATGGATTTTAAACCCAAGTTGAGACGATACTAGTCCTGCTGGCTCTTGGACTTTTATCCCGTAGTGCTAGATGGCACGACAAACATTGCACATTAAGAGGTCCTTGATCTGTGATGAGGCATCGGTTTCATTGACTTGCTGGTACATACTGGTTAGGAGTACATGGGAGTAACTGACGACCTGTTTGTTTTTTTCCAGAAGAAGACGCGATACCTCCTCGCCTGGCTTCTCGTCATGATAGTGTTCTTCTTCCCGGAGATGGGCATGGTGCTGTTCATGAGCATCTATCACTGGGTAAGGAGCGCGCCACCCAGCAACCCGCCTACGTTCCTTAAGTCGCTGTGACACTTGTTATCATCATATACTTATACGAGAAGGCATAAAAAACGATTTGGGGAAGCGTGTTATTGATACAACAGCATTTTGTGTCCCGAGCAGAGCTCTTACAGTGCGAGAAGCGAATGGTTTAACGTAGGTGCAGCGGTGGGTCTGATACCAGGGAGTAGCATTCCACGGAGTGAACAGCCCAAAAGAGTATGTCGACGCGCTTACTTTGAGATCCCCGGAGCATCTCGCGCTGTAAGCCGCCATGAAACCGCCGACGTCAGCGACGAGTCGGAGAACAGCCGAGGGAGGCTGCAGTGTTTCACACGTCTCGCTGTCGTGCAGTAGAAGTGAACAACGACCACATCGCTGGCATATGACGCATAAGCAGCATACCTACACTGCAGCTTACGTGATGTAGGACTTTTTGTTACCACAGAGGAATGGAATTGGAAGGTTGGCATGCGTTGTCTGCCCTTGACTGGTCGTGCAGGAATGCTACCCGCGCAGAGGTGCAACCTTCTTTTCTGCTGAAACGTATTGCATTTCTGCCGCAGAACATCGAGTCGGACTACGGCCTGGGTGACCTCATCTTCTACATCTGCAGAGCTGGATTGAACGTGCGTTCTCAGGCGCGGCAGCGATGTGCATGTGCTCAGAAATAACCGGTTGGAAGCAAAACTGGCTATACAAGCCAGTGAAACCTGAACGTGTCGGCTTGTAACACGTAGCTTACGTCTAGGACAGCATCGGGCCCATTCAACTGCCGTCTCAACTTCCGCTGACTCAGAGTTTTAGGCATAGTACCTTGCATTCCTAGACAACAACATTATTTACGCATACGTCATTATACAGCAGCCTAATTTGGAAACGAATCAGGAATGTATGAAACAATGATACACAGGAGCAAAATACGTCCTTTGTCGTTATTCCGGCAGACGTAGACCGCTTGTCGTTATTCCCGGCAGACACAGACCGTAAACTTACTGCGGCAACGTCTCTGTTTCGTCGTTCCGTGCCGATTCGTCATTTACGTTAGCAAACTCAGTCTTATGTGGCCAAGCATAAAGCATGCTGCAAACATGATCTGAAGAGAAAGCACATCAAGACAACTACAAAACGGTTCCAGAGTAGAGCTTACCGGCTGGTCTTATAACTCGATAACATATGCAGGGTTTCGTTTTTGTGCATCCAAGGTTTCATGCATTGTCGGGTTTGATACCAGCTTAGATCCCCATCTAACGATGTCAGCGTAGAAAGGGCTAGTTACTGTACCCCAATCCATATTCCCATTTGCTATGAAGAGCGCCTTCCCACGTGTATGTGTCCCATCGGAGGTCCAGAGCCAGCGCATGACTAGTGAAAGCCTTCTGGTGACCCTGACCGCTGCGCAGCTGGTGTCTCTGATCTGCGTCCAGTCTCTGCACGCCACCTGGCGGGAGGAGAAGTTCACTCTGCACAGGCTCGACTCCTTCAACTTGAAGGTGAGAGACAATGACCAGATCAGCTCACTGCTATGTACGTGCAGGTGGGCATGTCTGATGATTTACTTTCAGTCCCATTCAGCTCGTGGCACCTCCAATGTCGTGTTGCGCACAGATACGTCCAGGGTCTAGTATTTAATGAAACGCACTCAGGTAGGAGGTAGTAATTTTCATATGCGTCATGTATTTCGAACTCAAACGCTTGGAGGTCAGTACTTGATGTCAAGATCACATTGGGTATGAGTGATTATTGGGAGAATTGACGTCAGACTGTAAGAATGAATGTACTGAGAGCATTCTCGCACCCGTGGCACGGCGCCGGGAGGTCATGTCTAAGAGACCTGGTCTCGGGGACCATAGGCTCTGATACACACCTTCGTTGGCCAGGTTGGTCCGAGTGTGCTGCGGAACGGCATGGCCGACCGCGGCTACCGAGCCGGCTCCATCTCCTACACCAACGGCGTACAGCTCGCCGCCCCGGCGCTGATCAGGTGGGAGCAGGCCAAGGGCACGTAACGCTTGACTGACGGTTGCCGTTTTGGCGCTCGATTAAACCATAGTTCGGCCGTGGTCAGGAGATTACGTGTGCATTGAATAGCATAAAGGCATAGAGTATATTGCGGACAAATAGGCATAAAGATGCACCAGCATGCGGCCATAGTGTCTGCCGACTGCTTCTCTGGTGACGGAGGCGTTTTCTAGACGTAGACAACTTCTCATTGACGACAGTGGTTGGAGCTTTCCGTGTATGTCGAAAAACTCGGAAGCCCATGCCTAATTTTACCTAACTTAAATACGGCACCGATGGGTGTGATGTAGGAAATGAGCATGAACGTTGTCCCGGTATTTAAGAGTTTCCACTTCAGCTTATGGCTGCCCCACCCCTCGTGCCGCCCTCCCAGGCTTAGCTCAGCTCCGCCCACTGATCACTCTCCGGGTTGTGATGCGGTTCCGTCTCAGTGACACTGCGTAGTGACAATCGTCCTGGCCCAGTGGTGGCTGTTTCTCTCCAGGTGCTGCCCTAACTCAGTAACTGCTGCGCTGCCTCAGTGACGCCTTTTCATTCCAATTGGCGACTGCTCAGCCATAGCTGGCCTTCCCCAGCAATGACTACCATGCCCCAGTGACGGCTGTCCGCCCCAGTGACGGCTGTCCCGCCCCAGTGACGGCTGCCCCGCCCCAGTGACGGCTGCTCGTTCCCAGGTCTGTATCATCGGCGTCGCAGTACGCCCCGGCCCGGCAGCACGGCGGCGGCCGTAGCCAGTTCAACGCCGCCTTCTACGGCATGAACGGCGGCCCAGTGGTGCGCACGCAGAGCTCCATCGGCATCAACGACTACCCGTCGCTCGGATACGAGGTGGGGCAGGGCGCGAACCCAGGCGCGCGCTGCTGCCCTGTCTGTCGGCACACACTGGCTGGGCTTCACACTCACCGCCCACACGCACTGTTGAGAGCGTGGTCTTGCCACTGTGGCTCCCGTAGTTTCTAGGACGCGTAACGGCGATCATGACTACAAAACTGCACCTTCTGTCAGTCAGTATGGTAGTTAATTTCGATCAAATATCTGTATCGTAACCTTGGGATGTTGGTTGTCAACCTGCTCGTGTTCCTGCTGATGAACGGCTGAGTTTGCAGCATGTGCCTTGCTGCTGTAGTTGTGTTGGATTGCCGCGGTGGTGGTTCTCGTACCGTGCTCATGACTGCGCTCGATGTTCGGCAAATCACTCCGTTGGCTTCAGGAACCCTCTGCATAGAATAGGTTATAGATCTCGGATGCAATAAATGTTTGGACTATCGGCCTTGTCTGTACCCGACAAGGACGATAGTCGGATCAATTATTCCATCCATGGTACTAATAATTCGTCTAAAGTCTTCGGCATGCCATGAAGTTCTGTTCTAGGTTCTCGTACTTCCGATGAAATTTTCACTGTTTTCTGCACAATAGACGCCGTCTGTATGCCGCGTGCCACAGATGCTGTGCGTGACGTACACGGCAGCTGCTGTGCATGACGCGCTCAGCAGCTGCTGCGCATGATGTGCTCGGCAGCTGCAGTTCATAATGTGCTCAGCAGCTGCTGTACATGACGTGCACAGTAGCTGCTGTGCATGATGTGCCCGGCAGCTGCTGTGCACGATGTGCTCGGCAGCTGCCATCTGTGTGCTGCGTGCCTCAGCTGCGGCCGGTGTGCGGTGCACCTCACCAGTCGCCTGTCTGCCTGGCAGCCGCCGCACCTCGTCTACGTGCCGCGCTACAGCACGCAGTCTCTGGACCGGCGGAAGTACATGCGCGGCTCGTGGCGGGCGGGCTCGGCGGACGCGCTGAACCTGGCCGGCCCGCTGCCGGCGCCCCCTTGCCACTGCTGGCTGGCGCACGGCCGTCGCCAGCCGCACGAGAGCCGCAGCTCGCTCGGCGCCGAGTCCGACTCGTACCGGTACCGGGACGTAGCGCTCTGACCTGCCGCCGCCGCCGGAACGGAGCGCGCGCAGGGCGGCGCCGCGGCGAGGACGTCGTATGGTGATGAGGGCGGATAAGTGTGGAGGGGGTGACGTGGCCTTGTCGCGGCGGCATGGCCTCACTGCCGCCTCCCCCGCACTGGCCCCGCGGGCCGTGCCGCGCCCGTCTGGGAGTGGCTATGACCGCACTGCCACCTGTCGGCTGTAAACGCAGGCTGAGCGCCTGGGACGGAGCGACAGGGCCTAAATACACTGCCCTCTGTTGGCAGTATATAAAGCTTCAGTTGTGAGCACCTGCGAGTGGCGCTGATGTGTGAGGCCCGAACAATATGTTTGTCTTCCCATGTGGAGGAAGAAAAGCGACCTGTCAGTATTTTGCTCGACTTTCTAGGCGTTATTTAACCGGGTAGGAATTCTAAATGTTGCCATGCTACTCGAGACGGATATAACCGGGACCTGACCTCTTTTGCCCTCTGGCTGTCACGGGACTCGCTGGACGGCGGTCGCGTGCTGGGGTGCGGCCAGCCAGCGCGCCTCTTCCAGTTAGCGATCAGTAGTGCGCACATGCCCTGTGTTGACTGCCTGGTGTATGGATATGCCAGACACGCGCGGAAGGGTCAGATTGTCATCGCGTGAGCTCTTCCGTGGCAGGCTGGTGCGACTTGTGAGGGGCTTGGAATGCCACAGGTGCCTTCAATGTCACTGTGTTTTGAATGCTCGTGGATTCTGAGACGCGGGTTTCGCTAAGGGCTGCCGTATAATCAAACCGTTGTCGTGTTTATATGTGTTGCATCCTGCAGGTCCCCTAACTACCTCTATTTGAAGCCTTAGAATGCATTAGACCTGCTGTTTTGTAAAAAGAGGTGGATCCAGAGAGTAATCGAGTGGCGGAGGACACCGCAACTTTTGGGGTGTTTGGTCTACGTACGTAAAAAGAACTCCTTTTCTACGCCATTAAAAGTGAGCGATTAGAGGAGTAGGGATGGTGAAGTCCACGGTGCTTACCTTCCTGTGTGCGTCCCTAGGGCGCAAACCATGAATTTCACCACGCGCACACCGCCATTTACCGGGCTTTGGGAACTGCAGTGACCAACGCAAAATGGTCGATTTTGACAGTGTTGGTTTCTGTGGTGGACAATTAGTATTATTAGCATTGGGCTCTTTTCATCTACACATTGTTAATAGTCACCCATGTGTGCCGCTCATGAAGTCCTGTTTACCTTCTTGGCGGTGCGATTTTTGGAAAGAAATATATGGATGTCAGATCTCTGACAACGATAATACATGCTTATTTTGACAATGACGACAGGTGTCGAGGAGGAAGCTTTATAAACAGGAAACTTCCCTGAAAGTTTCAAAGAATCTATGTCGCACCGTTGGAGTTACTCCGTCAGTGGCAAACTGTAAGGCAGCACATTTTCATTGTGTGCCTGCTGGGTACAAAAACTTGCGTGTTCGTGCGGCCATGGCTTTGACACTGACTTCTGACACCCAAGGATGGCGTCACGGCGAAACGAAATCGACGACGCCGTGCAGAAACGACGACGATACACGACATCGTCGGTGTCCTGCACCGTCGCACCAACAGCACTGCTGCTGTGGCGGCGACCAGCGGCTCGTGGCTCGCTGGTGGATCAGCCAGGCCCGCCCTCTGCACCCCGCGGTTTGCCCACCACTAGGTCATTCCTTCCCAGTTCGTCATATGCACTGACAGTGTCAGAAACGCGCAGTGGCGTTGCCCTGCGGCTGGGGACAGGCGGTCCTGACCCGGCAGCAGTCACAGTTTGCGTCTGCCCCCCCCCCCCCTCGCGATGAGTGGCCGATGCGATCCATGATGTCCCTACAAATCACAGACAATTAAATTCACATATTGTTACCGGGTTTACCAAATTTGGGGCTGGTGGGCGGGAGCGCTTGTCCAATCCCACACCTTGGCTAAAATATTCACTGCCTTGAAAAAGGGTGTGCTTTAGAGAGACATTTCATCCAGTCCTTTGCAACCAGAATCCTCTGAGTTCTCCAGGTTGAGACCAATCCACCAATTTCTCCGACTTGTGTTCAATCCAGGTTTGGGTTTAGGAGTGAGTTGTAGCTGTTGTGCTTCGTAGGCACGTCCGTCCATGACGATCTGCCCTCTCACAGTCTGATACGAACACGTCCGTCCATGACGATCTGCCCTCTCGCAGTCTGATACGAACACGTCCGTCCATGACGATCTGCCCTCTCACAGTCTGATACGAACACGTCCGTCCGTGACGACCTGCCCTCTCACAGTCTGATACGAACACGTCCGTCCATGACGATCTGCCCCCTCACAGTCTGATACGAACACGTCCGTCCATGACGATCTGCCCCCTCACAGTCTGATACGAACACGTCCGTCCGTGACGATCTGCCCTCTCACAGTCTGATACGAACACGTCCGTCCGTGACGATCTGCCCTCTCACAGTCTGATACGAACACGTCCGTCCGTGACGATCTGCCCTCTCACAGTCTGATACGAACACGTCCGTCCGTGACGATCTGCCCCCTCACAGTCTGATACGAACACGTCCGTCCATGACGATCTGCCCTCTCACAGTCTGATACGAACACGTCCGTCCATGACGATCTGCCCCCTCACAGTCTGATACGAACACGTCCGTCCATGACGATCTGCCCTCTCACAGTCTGATACGAACACGTCCGTCCGTGACGATCTGCCCTCTCACAGTCTGATACGAACACGTCCGTCCGTGACGATCTGCCTCTCTCACAGTCTGATACGAAACTGTAGTTTCCCTGTGTGAAACCGCAGGAAACGGATTGACTCGAACTCAAATCACCACGATCCGGGCACGACATCGAACTCGGATTTAACTTCAAAGGCCCGATTCGGGTTTGGAGTCACATAAACCGTGGAAATAACACTCGTGTTCGAACTCAGGTAAAGTGTGAATTGGCTCGGACCCGACTCAGGTTTTCGGGTTCAGTCATGGCCGTTGGCGACGTATGCGTGTACATAACAGCGATGGATTACACCATGCCTTGTGCGGACCAGGACGTGCGTGTATTGGAATCATGTGTCGAGTGTTGTGTCCCGGACACTCGGTAATGCGCATTCCATTACACTCGTCAATTATACCCGTCCCTCACACCCGTTCATTACATCCGCGTCTTGCAGCCGTCTATCACAACCACACCTCGCACCCGTCCATTACATCCACGCCTCACATCCGTCCATTACATCCATGGCTCACATCCGTCCGTTATATCCACGTCTCACACCCGTCCACTACATACATGCTTCATACCTGCCCATTACATCTGCGCCTCACACCCGTCCACTACATACATGCCTCATACCTGCCCATTACATCTGCGCCTCACACCCGTCCAACGCATCTGCGACCCATCCTCGTCCATTATAATGACCGTGCATTACATTTGCGCCTCACGCCAGTCCAGCACATCCGTACCTCACATCCGTCCATTACATCTCCGCCTCGCACCTTTCCATTACATCCAAGCCTCACACTTGTGCATTACGTCCACAACTCGTGTTCATCATGGCTCTCGTCCAATTAAGCCCGTCGTCTCCGGACGGCTTCAGGGCCGCTGGCACGCCCGCCGCCCTCTTCTTCCGTCGTTTGTAAGCATCTAGCACATACACGTTTAGGGGGAGTGCCGGTCACAATGGATGGTGCCTCTGCCCGCGAGTCCAATCTATCGACGAGTCCGCCATTGTTCCGGCTCGCCTGAATAGGTGGTGCGGCGCCTGTTGTGGCGGCCTCCATGGCTGCACTGCGCCAATACACACATGCTGGTGATGGCCCAGTGCACGTTCCAGTAGTGAGCTTACATGGCCAGGGGCGCGCCAGCAGGAACTGAACGCGTCCGACAAGCGTGGCGCGCTGCGTTCCGGCTATGACTGAGACATCACAATTTTCATAACCAGGTTTCTGGCTTTGTCTACGAAAACCCGACCGTTCCATCTGCACTCTCTGTAGAACAGAGCACTGAAAGGTCGACAAGCCAGACGTGGTGGGGCCGGGACAGTGGAGCGCTGCGACCCTCGGCGGGCTATGCGTCCATTGTTTCCCTCGGACACAGATGTGAGCTCCTCTGTAGGGCATGTCTCGCACTAAACAAAAGCGACATATCCGTGCCACCTGCTGTTCAGTGGGCGGGGCGCAGGTGCCGTGTTTACGCGGTGAAAGGCTCAGGTGCTGGCAGGCTCTCCGTCTGTTTTGCGTCGGCGAATGCCGCGGATGAATATCAGTGCCGCCTCGTCCAGATGCTGGGAGCCGGTTGCCAGGCGCGCCGACGCGTCCGCCGCGCGCCGCCGACGCCCCGCAGCGCCGCCAGCCCGCGCGCCGCCAAAACATACCTGTTTGCGACAAATGCCGAGCAGGGCAGGGGCGATCGGCGGCGATCCGCGATCTTCCCCGCGATAGCGCGCCGACATTGGACCGAAAACAAACAGCCGACTGTCATGGCGGCATTCCTCGCCCCGAGCGTTGTCATGTCCCCTCGTCTATTTGTGCTGTTTCGCTTGGAAATTGTCCGATCGTCCAACACTGGGGCTACACGTGGGGCCGTATTTTTGCCAGCTCGTGCCAGGAGGTGAACGGGGGTTGATTGAAAAGGGTATGACATGTGATGTACCGTCATCAGAGTTTATCTAACCGAGTCCCCAATTTTCGAGTCACACGTGGCGCACCCGCATGTTCCCGGTATCGCGCATGGCATTCCGGTATATCAATTGATTTATTTTTCGTAATATGGTGCAGACTTGTAAAAGCAAGAAAATGGTTGGCATAAGTGGAAACTATCATCAGGACCAGAGGTGTCCGGGTCCCAGCAAGTCTTGCCCAGATTGGCCCACTTTGTGCCTTGTCCACACAAAAGAACCCCAAAGCTGTTTCCGACCTCAGTAATCCTCAAGGCATGGATACGCCCCAATCTGCACTGCAGCCATAGGATCGCATCCTGGCAGTGGACAGGTATGATTGGATATAAAATATTTTGGCCAGTTATCAGGCTTAATTGATAGGTTCAGCCACAAACCGTTCAAACACCAGAACATGGGCTGTGTCCTGCAAATAAATTGACAAAACACGCTAGTGAACGAACGTTGATCGCACCAAGCGATGTGTTACGTCAGCTTTTCTGACGCCCCTGCTGACAACAGAACGAAGAATCACGCAAACCGAACACGACTAGCAACTGTCCAACGACAGTGCCAGGGTCACGTCAGGTGCTGAGTAAACAGCTGGCCCATTCCGCACAGCGGATCAGCAGAAGGGCGTATGACAATGGCAGGTGCATGCCGCCAACTGTCGCGAGCCCCAGGGGGTGACAAGCGGAATCGAATGGGCCGGGGTGAATGAACGGCCTCTGCAGTGGTGGCGTCGCTGCACTCGTTCAGAAGATCTCGGCGCGGCAAGAAATGAAGAAGTGACTGGAGAAGTCCGGAAATAGACATCGATGTTGTTGTCATGTCACGTGCCATGAAAATTGTTGGGTGGAATTAGCATTTGTATGAGCTGGTAATTTTGAGAAGGCTAATCTGACAACTGTAAGCTTTGAGACCTCGGTTTGTGAAAGGCGTGGAAGTATCTCCTTGTTCCGGGAGTAAGCCTTCGGGGCGACGGTCTTCCGAACGTATATTTAATGTCGAGTAGGTCTTCCGAACCTACATCTAATACGGAGTGAGTCTTCCGAACCTACATCTAATACGGAGTGGGTCTTCTTGGAGTTAATCTTCCTAGAGTAGCCTGCCGTCCATAACCTGACTAACATATTCATGGTATGACCTGTCCTAGGTCACGAGATTATATTCCAATGAGGAGATCAATCAACCCACCGTTGGACGGAAGTACGCGCATAGTCGTGAGCCAGTTTTTCAAAGTATCTGCCGAAAACGCGCCAAAAACGACACGGGTCTCGGCCCGCGCGACCCACAATCGCACCAACAATCACGTCTGAAGGTTTCTTGAAGATACATATATACACACACACACACACACACACATATATATATATATATATATATATATATATATATATATATATATATATATATATGTGTGTTGATTTAAAACAACTGCTGACTCAGTATTGACGAGCTTTTTGATGCATCGTTCTAGTTTTCGGGCCTTTGATTTTGCGTCATCGCTTAGATTAAAGATGGTTCGCACAAAATTACTCATATATTCATCACTCCTTCCATTCTAACGTTTCGAGACCTTACGTCATCTTCGGAGAAGACTAAATTGCACAAGAAATAAGTTTTGAGTT